TATTTCTCACCTAGGGACATCTTGAGAAAACAAAAATCATAATCATTCATCATTTTCCTTTTAGTTCACAGTTATGTACAAGACTTGCGTTTAACAAAAAGTCCATGAAATACATTGAAATTTCAATGTGAAGAATTATAGAAGTATGGATACGTAATTACACTTATTGGCAGCTAGAAAGATGAAAACAACTAACTGGATGAGTTTTATGCCCAGTGGTATGAATACAAAACTCAATATTATGCCTTCCCAAACTGTGTAATCAGCTAGCTGAGTAAGACGGAATCATAACCAAAAATTTTCCAACATTTAAGAGGCTTTTTAACTATTGTGTTTTGTTTCCCTGCTTATACGGTGATTATTTGTTGGAGAATAGGAGCTAATTGTTTGTCTGTTAAATTGAAATCAAGTAGGAGCCTCAGGATCACCATATGATCACCTTACAACTTCAGTTAGGAAAAAATAAGCTATATCTTAGAGAAATTGAAGTCAGAGGTAAACTAAGCTGAAAAAAATTGTATTGATTAATCATTTTCTTTCTTCAGAATGAAACGGTACCCCTGCTTTATTAGTTCCTGTCGTTTCATAGTTTTCCTCTCCTTTGGTAAATAATGGATTGCGACAAATTATTTTCCTTTTAGAATTATTAAAGTAGTTATCAATTCAATTTGAAATTCATTAGATTTTGATTGATGGCACCAGATCGCAGTGGTGTTATTGCAAAGATCAATCAGATTTTGACTCTCAGAATATTTCAGAACGGATATGTCGCTGTTCATCTTCCTCTCCTCCGTTTCTCAGTGACTCCTCTGATTGCATCCATGAAAGTGAAAACATCCAAGCGTTATCTGATCAGAAGCATCTTATAATTACATGACATCATTTCTGGTCGTGTGATCTAACCATCTCTACGGATCAGCTGCAAATATCTTATTAAAAATACAAAATAATCGCATTTATAATTTCCTTCCTCTGTCTGTGTGGCTATATACTCTCATACTTGAGAGTCCTGATCTGTGATTTATGGAGCTTTACTGACACCTCCTGGTTAACTGGAGGAACTACAAACTGAATGGAGAGAGGAGCGGCAGGACAAAGCACTCGACAAATCTTAAAAAAAAAAAAAAAAAAAACATAACCTGAATTAGAGTAGACAGACTTTAAGTCCCAGGGCAGAATGTTTTATATCTGCTTTTAAGTGTGACTCTGCAAAACAGTTCAAAGAAAATGTGCATTGATTATTTGTTGTGAGTCATTTCATTGGACTTTAATTAAATATTGGAATGTTTTTTTTTGTTTGTTTGTTTGTTTGTTTTTTAACATAGAAAATGTATTTGCAAAGAAAATAATGTTGTTCTGTTTTTAAGATTTGTGGGGGAACTATTTATCCCACTTCACTCTTTATCTATGCGAGCTGTCATACTGTCTGCTCATAACAATGACTGACTGTGTCCGTGTCTTGGAGCAGATAAGAAAGTGTTTCTGTTGTTGCCCAATTTCAAATTCATGCAGACATAAATCTGTTTCACCACAGCAAATGTCAACAAATATTCCCTGATGTATCATCACAATACCACAAGGTCCGAGAATCATAAGCTTACATTTTATTTTGCAAAATTTTGAACACAAAAAACAGACTGAAGGCTCAAGAAGCACATTAGATTCCAGTGGAATGTCTATTTTACATTCAGGAAATGTTGATTATGAGGAACTTGAAATTATTGTCGACTCTTTTTTTATTGTATTCTCTGTTATGAGAAAATTTTATAATTTTTCGATATCTTCTATATACGGTCTGATTTCAGATTCATAGATTTAAAGTAGCAAGCAACATTTCAGTTAAACTAAAATGTGTTAGCCTTCTAAAAGCTCAATAAAAAAATATCTAAATGTTTATTTACATTTTAATCAAACTGTTACGTTTTTATACTATACTCATAAATTTGTAGCTGACTCTTGCTCTGATTGAAGGACTATTTTTTTGATGCAATTAAATTAATTAAATTCATATTGTTGAAATAATTACAAAAAATCAGTAACTGAATTATTCTTAAGTTCATACATTCACCCTGTCTCAGTTGATTTGTTCATCCATAAACTTTATTTATTTTGTTGGCACAAGAGGTCTGTTTCAAGGCACACCTGGTTTTGTTATTAGCAAAAAGCAGAATGAATTTTGGTGAAATAAGATCTTTAGTCAGCAATTTGTAAATGAAATTAAAATATTACTGATCTCTTATCAATCTGTAGACTGAATCTAAAATTTGTGCTACATACATAAAATGTTAGGATCATCATACAACCACAGGATGAAATGTCATCGGCATGACTGCAAGAAAAATACAATTTAGAGTAGCTGATGAATGATGGGTTTATTATAAAATATAAAATACACCCTGATATGTGTATTTCCAGACAAATGTCACACAGTTTCATTACGGAAATTATTAACATAGAGAGCCACAAAACATTACAAGGGTGTTATGATAAAAATGATCAAATATTTGTGGGATTCAATTTATTCATTTTAAAAAACATGTAACAAATATATAAATGATACAAATCAACCATTTCCAAATTTAGAAAAGTAAATAAAAATCATATTTATGTTTTCATTTCTATTATACCTTATTTCTTTATTTATGTATCTTGATACACTTACATTTCTTTCTTCTTTATCTTTAGATTTCCTTATTTGTTTATTTTCATAACCATCATCGTCCTGGTAAAATTAAGCCTTCACTAAATAATTTTTTTTTTTCTTTTAATTCTTTTGGATAAGATGTTTCATTTGATCAGTTCATCATTTACATCTTATTCTGTTTTCTGATGAAAACAACAAGATCAACTCTTTTAAAAAATAATAATGTAAATCCAATAATAAATATATATTTTTAGATGAAAATATCTAGCAGAAATGTCTGAGGTTATTTCAGTGACTTTCTGTTTTCTTTAAGTGCCCGTATTTTAAGTAATGGATTAAACCAGCTATTTATTTTTTCTGGTATATTTTTATATTTAAAGTAACAGCTTTTTTTTTTTTTTTTTTTTTTAATCAGAATGTGACCTGGAACCGTAAAGAAAAGCTGTTCATCCTTTTGAGTTTAACGAAATTATGTAAAAATGTGCAACTGTTCTGAGTTTTGCCTGGAAGTTTCTTGACGGTTACAGAGACGATGCTGCATTTCTGAATAAAAGGTTGGTGTTCAACAAAGTGGCACAATTTAATTTGAAGTGCAAGGCTGCGATGTGCCCGTTAATGAAAGCTCTCAGCTTTAAGTTCTGTCTACTTTATATTCACAAAGAGAAACGAGCGAGGCAGCCATCGTGGCGACATGCAAATACACTGATCTGTCTAATACGAGCTGCACCCAATCAGACGGACGGAGACTTTGACAAGCAGAACAAATGCCCTGCGAGCATAAACATGTGCAGGTCAGGAGGAAGAAGAATTCAGCTTTCTTTATCCTCTTTGCAACAGACATATTCTGCATGTTCGCTTACTGTTAAATTACTCATCTGAGATTAGAGACGGCTTAAGGAAGAAAAGTTTTCCCTCAAAAGTTGATAAAGCTTTGCAATCTTATGTTGACTGAACATATGCAAAGATACATGTTCAGGAAGTTTGTTAAAGCCCTGCAAACTTTCCAGCTCTGATAAAGTTTCTTTCTAAAAGAGAATGAATTCAAATCCATGTAAAAGTTGTGCAAAACAGGGCGAAAACCGGCTGTTGTTTAACAATACAGCAAACTTCCAATTAACATATCATCGCATCGACAGAAATGTTGTTACAGAGCAGAAACATTAAAGTACAAATGAACAACGGACAAACCCAACAAATGCTTACTGATAGCAGGCTGTTTAGTATTTTTTATTTTTTTTCCATACAGAGAGTTAAAAAGGGCAGACTAAGAAGATGGTGCAACATAGCAACATCACTTAAGTTAAGAATCAGCTCTGTTGGCAAAGTTTAGATACATAAATTAGAGACTGGAAATGGAAAATACAGTGCGTATGTGTATATACACCCAATATATTTATTTAACAAATAAGCTAAATCAAACTCCCAGGCCAAGGCGAGATGAAAAATGGTTTGAATAAACAAATATCGCTCCCCCATCCGAATCCTCCTTGCAGCAAACCCCTCCATCATTAACGATGTCTGCTGTCCCTAGGTAACTTAGCTCCTCTCAGGCTGTATGGTTCTTCCTTGCTTTCCTTCAGAGGATTCCTTACCATTCACAACCCCATTCACAGAGCCACTCTTCACCACCACCACCACTACAGTGTCCCTGCCAGCAGTACAAGTGAAAAACAAAATCAATCTGTTCAAGGGACAAAAACCTGAAGGTCCAAAGGTATCAGCTGCAGACCACTGAGAAGCTATGCAGATCAACTGTAGGCCATAGTAAAGTATATAGGCAACATGAGCCTTTATCTTTAAGAAGGTACCATGCCATGCCATACCTTTGCATTGGTCCTGCATTGTAGCAGCACCAACAAGCGCACATATGAAGGACATCAACAACAACAAGCCAGTACAACTGATCTTGTATCTGGTGAACACCTTAGCTCATCCAACCCAAGAAACAGTAAAACCTTGACGGGAAAAAGAGATGGAAGATATTAGAAATTTCTATAAAATTAGATTCAGAAAAATAAATAAATAAAATAAATTGAGAAATGATAAGTACAAGGAGAAAAAAGGAGAGAAGAGGCAATTATTTCTCATCTCAGATTTGGGCAACACTCTTTGTTTTACTTTAGGGGAACGTTGCAGTAGTAAGTGTAAATACTGAGGAGTGGATGAGGCAATGGGACATGTGACGCTGTTAAAATTAAGAGGAAAAAAGAAAACAATTGATTCAAAATTGAAATAGAATTAAAGTTAAGCTTTTGTTGATTTATTTAGAAATATCTTGAAAAGTAAAAGTGTATCAGATAATATTTTGTGAACTTAAATTATCAAAGTTATAATATATAACACAGTCTGCTCCACACTCCAAACCAGTCGGTGGCGGTAATTCACCAATTTCGTTGATGCCAACTACTAAAAAAAAAAGTCGAGGACGAAGTAGAAAATGATATGGGATCGGTAGTAACATGGAGTCAGGCTCTCTTCAGTGGTTTATGTTGGAAGCTTTTCTGGTGAATTGTTGTCTCGGTTTGGTTTCTTCTCTGTACTTTCATATGACAGAAGGAGAGCAAAAGTGTTTCATCGAGGAAATCCCAGCAGACACGATTGTTGTCGGTGAGTGAATCACAAAAACGTTCAGCAACGTCAATTAGTAAACTTAAAAAAAAAAAAAAACATCGCTAACACCTAAGACTTACACACTTAATCAAGATGTCAACAGCTATCGTTTGTCTATACACTTGTTCACGGAGTAGGAATGGTAACTACAAAAAAGCATCGATGAATGTGAAGCTTGTAAACGGCTTTTTACGATGAGCGAAATGTCTTTTTTTTATTTAACGGAACTGAGTCATTTGCTGCTTTCTAAAGTCACATGACAAAGATGAAGATGTTTCCGTCAACAAACATCTGCAGCAGTCGTGCTGACTAGCAAAAGAGTTACGTTTCAAAAACTTAGTTGATTACAGATTATACAAATGGGCCATGAAGTAATGTTCTTCATCTTAATATTTAAATTGTTATTTTATGAAATGTAAGATTACAGATTTCAGTGAGTCACGATGACTGATAAAGCCAATTACTTAAATTTGCACTACCACTGACAAAAACTAACAAAAAAAACCTAAAAAGACTCTTTTTCTGGCTCTGTGGTGTTTTCACGTTCTTCGTGTGTATTGCATAGACCTCCTCTTGTGCAATAATCGCAGTCGATGGGTACCGCCTCCCCACCGTGACCCTCAGTAGATAAATAAATGGCTACCGACACTAGGTGGTGGGACTCTGACCTTTGCATAGGTCCTGCATTGTACCACTTGTTAAAGAAACTACAACAACAAAAACGTTTTACTGTTTTGAAGAACAAAACAGTTATTTAGTCTGCATGATAGAATACGTAAACCAGGGCAACACAGAGACAGATGGGACAAACAATCATGCATGCACACACTCACACCTAAGGAGAATTTAGAGAGACCACATGTTTTATATGTTTCCCTGATTTCAGACGCCTGATTCAGATGATTGCAATTCAGCAAGAGCCTGTTAATCAGCTGTCTATTGTGCATTCCAGAAATTTTATTTTTAAGTAAGAGGGATAAAAAAAACTGTATTGGTTAAAGGAAGCCGTAAGAAGTCACACTGCAGTTTGTCATAAGCTAATAAGGGGGCACATCAAACATAATTTCTTATGATCATGTCAGATGGGACTAAAATTGAGCATTTGTGGTCTAAATATAAAATGTGTAGTGACAAACCCACCTTACCCACAATAACACCTAGAGTGAAACGTGTGAGGAGACTTTTCATCGACAAGATCAGGGAAGCTGGTTAGAATAATGGGAAGATGTACAGAGCTAACTCCAGGACAATCCTGAAATGAATTCTGTTAGAAGATGCCTAATACTACGACAGATGTTCACCTTCCATCACAACAACAACCATAAACGTAGAGCCAAGATATTATGGGATGGTACAGATCAAAGCCTGTTCATGTGTAAAAAATGGCCCAGTCAAAGTGCAGACAGAAACAGGAACTGACTGATGTTGAGCATTTACTAGTGATGGGTAGATGATGCGTCATGTATCATTTCGACACATAGCAAAACTGTGTCGATTCTCGATACTGTCATTCAATACTGACACCTGCTGGACATTAAAAATTCCTACAGGCAACGTAGTGATTTGATGACCTAGTCTATACAATAAGATTTAAGTCTTCGTATTTTATTGAATATTATATATTGTATTATGTCATATCTTAAGTTAAATTTAATATATATTTGATATACAGTCAATAAAAAATGTGTATCTTAAAGTAAAAATTTTAGTGAATGTGTTTGGAATGAGGATGCTTGTGGACTGTTTTTCCCCCCACAGATTTTTATAAAAAAAAAAAAAAATGTTTTTACAACATTTAGAAATTTAGCCTTTTATGCTTTTATAACAAAACTTTTGCTGTAGAAAAAATGAAGTAAACACTACATTTACAGTGAACCTTTGTTTTTCTTAGGGGTTGT